GATTTGCCTGAAACTCGTTACTCGGGGGTTTTTGGGGTCGCTGATCACGAATCTGATGTCAGTTTTTATAAATTCAAAATGGCGGACACTTTTTCGAAAAATTCATCAGAATCGCCTGAAACTCGTTACTCGGGGGTTTTCGGAGTCGCTGATTACGAATTTGAAGTCAATTTTCAAAAATTCAAAATGGCATCGTAACAAATTTCTTAAGTGTATCTGTCATGACGGCATTTTTCGGAAAAGTGTCCGCCATCTTGAATTTTTGAAAACTGACTTCAAATTCGTAATCAGCGACTCCGAAAACCCCCGAGTAACGAGTTTCATGCGATTCCGATGAATTTTTCGAAAATGTGTTAGCCATTTTGGATCCGCCATTTTGAATTTTTGAAAACTGACATCATATTAGTGATCAGCGACCCCAAAAACCCCCAAATAAAGAGTTTCTGACAAATTCGATGAATTTTTCGAAAAAGTGTCCGCCATATTGGTTTTTTGAGGTTATCTCAAAATCCTGATCTGATGGGGTAAAACGGACCCCGAATTCGGATTCAGCGACCCAAAAAACATAAACTAGGCATAGTCAAAACCCCTAGATCAAAACTTTTTTTTTGTGTGGCTGTGTTATCATTTCTAAGAAAATACTTTAAAATAAAAATTCAAATTAATTATTTTTAAGGGAAATTCATGTGCTCCATTAAATTTACCCATACGGTGAAAAAACGGGATCATTGTAATGTAATTTAATGTAATAAAAATGGTTACTCTTTTGCGAGTTAAACTATAAATAAGAAAAGTAATTGAATAATTTAACAACAATTCTATTTTTTTATGAGCTATAAAATTTTAAAGTTATCTAGTAGAGGTTAGGATATTTTGAAAATCTATTTAAAATCTTTTATTCTATTGTATATATATATATATATATATATATAATTTAATAGAGAATAGAGATTTGAAAATTTGGTGGTCAATTTCGTTTACAGAAATCTTATTTATTCTTTGAGCCATATACGACCTTTGGTAATCTCTTCTCTCTCAGAGAGTACTATTTCATTTCTAAATTGTACAAGAGAGCACTTGTATAGTCTCCTTTATAGTACAAAGCACATCTTCCGGTAAGATAACTATAGGTGGTCTCTAACCTTCGTATTTCAGAACATTCTTTATTTCTCTCTCGAACCCTCCGAAAGACATTTCATTTTTGCGGGGGCTTTGAGAGTGCGTCTACTGCAGGTTCCTAAATCAGATTCGAAGATGATTGGGTGTGTGTGTGTGTGTGTGTGTGTGTGTGTGTGTGTGTGTGTTTGTATGAACAAGTATAAATTGAGCTGAACGTCTTCTTTTCAAACTTTTAGAGTTCACCTCTGATATTACCCAAGACTATAATATATACATATCATTTGAAAAATAAAAATTAAATCCAAATTTTACTTGCTTTTTTCAAAAAAAATAATTTTTTTGGGTCCATGCATTATATTTCAAACAAAGCCGTTGGGGCCAATTTTTTTTTTAAATTCTATTATTTTTGTAGAAATAATTATTATTAAAACATTTAAGATTACACAAGTCAACAAAAAAAAAAAAACAAAACAATTCGGACATTTGCAATTTCGGACAAATGGAAATTCTATCAATTAGAAATTTTGTTAAATGATTTTTCGGTTAAGTAAAAATTCTGTAGTGTAAAAAATCGGTTATATGGAAATTATATCAAATAATAATTCGAACAAATGAAAATTCATCTGAAAGAAAATTCTATGTAATAAAATTCTACCCAATAAAAATTCGGGTTTAAAATGCCTATTATGTTAAATGAAAGTTCAAGCAAATAAAAATTCTGACAAATAAAAATTCGAACAAATAAAAATTCTGTGAAGTTAATTTTCAGTTACATAAAAATTATGTAATATAGAAAATCATTTTGATGAAAATTCTGCAAAATATTAATTCGAACAAATAAAAATTCGGATCAAAAAGTAATTATGACAAATGAAATTCCATAAAATGAAAATTCTAACTACGAAGCTGAAGTACGCAACGTTTATGATAAACGATTTTTTAAGAAATAATTTTTTTAAATAAAAATTCTATAATTTTTTGCCTAAAAAATATTTTTTTATAATTTGTTGATGAATGAAAACTATAAGAAATATTTTTTAGGCAAAAAATTATATAGAATTTTTATTTTAAAAAATTATTTTTTAAAAAATCGTTTATCATAAACGTTGCGTACTTCAGCTTTGTATTCTAACTAATGATTTTTAAAACATATAATTATGCGTCTTTTAATTTTTCTGATTTAATTTTTTTTTTAAATTTAATTCTGTTTAATTTTAATTAATAGCGCTTTAAAATAAAAATACCTAAATTCATTTAAATAAAAAATCATTTTAAAAAAATATATACAGAAAAAAGATGAATTTAGTGGAAAAAAATTAATTATTGACATAGGTATTTTAATTCTCAGTTTATATCTTTCTCTCTTCGAAATTAATTATTAATTCAAGAAAACAATTATTCAATAGAAAATGTTGGTTAAGTGAAAATTTGTTTGTAGACGAGTAGCGTAACTAATTATACCCACTGGTGTTATATTACGTCCGCATACCTTGAAAGTATGTACATTGTTAGAAGTCTGTGGTAATTTTACGAAACATGTTTCTAAAGTTTCAATTTAGTTTATAATATTTCACAAAAATTACGTAAAAATTTATAGCTAATTCAAAAAATATAAAAAATTTTTAAAAAATTAATTTTTAACATATTATTTAGTTTACAAATTTTTTAATGCATCGAAAAAGAATATTCTCATATTGAGAATATATATATATATTAGCACACCTTTTTTTTATTTTAATATTCTTAAATTTAATAAATTATAAATATTGAATTAAAAATAAATAATAAATAAGAATATTTTTTTTGTGGTGTGTGCATTTTCATATAAAATATACAAAATATTTATTTTAAAATATCAAAGTATAAAAGTTTTAAATTCTAAAAAAATATTCTTCCAATAAAACAAATTTTTATATACTACCGAATGCATATAATAATATTAATAAATGAAAAATTTATTCAAGAGTAAAAACCGCGGACTTTTTTTGAAGCCAAATATATATATCAAAGATGAATAATATATTCTTAAAAGTTTTTTAGTAAAACAACATTGAAAAATATCAATAAAAATGTTTCAAAAAAATATTCCACTCCAATAACTAATGAGCCAAAAGTTCTGAACGTTCAAAAATGAACGAAATATTTTTTTCAATCTATAAATTATTAAAAATTATGATGACAATATAAAATAAAACAATAAATTAAACAATTATTAAATTAATAACTTCTTTTTAGATAATTAAAATAAATATTTTCTAATAAAATTAGTATTTAAAAAAGTTGCAAAAAAAAATTTCGTTCATTTCAACGTTCAAAACTTTTGTCTTATAGTAATTTCTCGTATGTGAATAAAAAATTCATTTAAATATGTAAAATTTAGAGTACAACATTTTTTTTTAAGGAAATATTTTATTAAACTAAATCTCTATAAAAATAATAATATTCTAAAATTAAGAATAAATATACTTGACTCTTATGATTTAGAATAAACAAACAAAATTTATTTTTAAACTAATTACATTAAATTAAAATACATTTTAAATTTAAGAAAATATAAATTTGAATTTCAGGAAATATTCAATATATTTCAAAAATATATAGCTATCTTATTATTTAAATATTATTTAAATTATTTAAAATAAATATTTAAAATGAATGGAAATATTTTATGTGGTCAAGTATTTATTTTTAATTTCAAAATAAATTCAAAATTTTTAAAAATATTTTCATCTCCTTTTTTTCGTGTAAAAAAAAGAATAATTCTCGGGAATTTAATAATTATTAAATTTTCATAATGGACAATAGCAAAAACAATTTGAAAACAGATTAATCTAATTCCAATAATAATTTGACAAAAGGAAATCGATAAAAAGAGGATGTTAATAAATTTCCTATTTCTTGGAATAATGTAAAATTATATATATATATATATATCTATATTTATTTTGTGCCTCTGTCGATAAATTATTCTCTCAAATATATATATATATATATAAAACATAGAACTGCGATACACATGTAAGTCAATGAGACAGAAGCGGAATTATTGATTTTCCTTAACTTTTCTTTAATAAAAGTGTTATCTTTTACAGAAACACAAGAACAATAGAACAACGGTGCTTTTATAATAATATAAAATATTATTTTATTAATTTAAACACGCGCAAGATTATTAAGATTTAAATATTTTAATAAAGACAAAAATAATTAAAACTTAAAATAAATATATAAAAAAAAAAAACTTTTGAATTATAATTTTAAAAAAGTAATTTTATACCTCAAATAAAAAGAGAATTAAAAATAAATAAATATCGATAGTGGCAAAAAATTATTTATAACAAAATAAACACGGATTTAAAAAAAAAATACTAAATAATTTTCAATTGTTTTTATTTTTAGAATAATTTATTTATATAATTTTATCCGCAAGTTTAAAAACTAATAGAATAAATTTTTCATTTAGTGTGTAAATTCTATTTGCAATTGAAAGCAATATATAAAAAAAAAGAAAAAGAAAAAAAATTACATAAAAATTGTTTACTTAACCCTACGACAAGAATAAAAAAAGTAAATGTAAAAAAAAATATGAATTTTCTTTGTTATCTATTTTTGGGTTAGAAAAACAACTATCGCCCGTATTTCCGTCACGTGTAATGATACAATCATATATTCATTATTATATATACACACACGAGGAAAGTAGGATAAAATCATTTTTTTTTTTCCCGCTTCCGTTCGTCACGGTCTCGTTATAATGTAAAAGCGAATATATTCCTTTCTTTGAAATGAAATTTCATATAGGCATATATAAATAAAGATATAAATACACTGTATTCTATAATAAGAGTTTAAAAAAAAAGAATATTACATGAATCCGTTACCTTACGTTACTTGCATGACCTGCTCTTCCTTGCGCACACCGACCGCTAAGCCGTTATAACCTTTCTTCCTTTTCCCCTCTGAACATAACCTCTTTGACACACAGTAGTTTATCTCTCTCTCTTCTCTATATAGCAAAATCTCTATAGAATCTATAATCTTTTTATTTCGTTTCTCGCACCTTTAAATGATTTTCGAATAAAAAATTTAACATTAAAGTATATAAAAAAAAAAAACTGACACACACAAACACTGTTTTTTCTCTGTCCTTGAGATTTTCGTTTTGTCACTATTGAAGGTTTTAACTAAAACTTGTTCAATACACGTATATCCAAAATTAAATGCAAAGTCTTGTTGAATGTATAGAATACTGAAAAATGACAGAGGGAATCGCGCGTCTTATGCCCACAATGGCGACCACTTGTTTACAAGCACGTGTGTGGATGAGAGGACAAATCCGAATGAAGTGAAATTGTCAATGTGTGTGTGTGAATTATCTGAAGTAGTATGCAAGCCGGTTCGTTTTGCCGAGTTCTACCGAATGAACACGAAATCACTTCACGTTGCGCGTGCAATCCTGCGACTGAGACGCGGCCTTTACGTTTACATTTTACAAGTCTTTGCCTACTCTACTGTCTTCCTCCCCTTCTCTTCGGGTCCAGGTTGCCCCCCTCTTTACATTTGACCAGCTTTATATATGTACACTAACATTCACTAACAAAACTTGTCTATATACACCTTGTCTAGTGTCCAGTGGGCCCCACCCAATATCCTCTTCCTTTTCTTTCTTCTGATCTTGTCTTCTAAACACACAACTTTGTATATGTGTGTGTGTGTGACTCCCATACATGCAGAAAGCAAGGTTGGGTCTATATAATCGTTTAGATTCTCAACCGGATGACCGGATCGCTCAACCAGTTCGATAAAGAAGCACTCGATAAGGGCCATCAGTTTTCTAAATGGAGAAAAACAGAAACACCTGTTTCGTTTTCTTTCTCAGGGGGCTTTTTCTAGGAAACAAAGCAGGTATAAAGGAAAGGTGACTTTCATGTGTTTTCTTTTAAAGATCTAGTTTTTTTTTCTCGTTTTTTTTCTAATGCCAGATCATTATCTGGGTTTTAAACGCGAAATCAGTATAATAAAGTAATGTGACATTATTCGTAAAAAAAAGAGGAAATAAAAAATACGTTGAAAATTGGATTTAGGATTTGAAATGGTCTTTTTGCAAGGTTACCAACCTGTAAATTTGAGGTCTATTTGTCAAATACAAATTAAGGGGTTTAATGAATAATTTTTTTAATTTGGTACTCCTGTCTAATTTGTATGCAATTTCAAGTTATTTCAAGGCAAAAATGACAAAAGTGATAAGAGTCGTTATACTAATTTGTGTAACTTTAAAACGTTTGTTAGGAAATTATAATCTCCGATTATTTTCAATTGTCACAGTGTATACGTATAAGAAACAAAATATAATTCGTAAAATATGTATACAAGCCTCTTGGGTAGGTGTAAAAAAACATGAAAAATCGAAACTGAAAAAGATTAAAATTGGTATTCTTTTTTTTTTACTCAAGGTAACATAACCTATTTGTGTCAACATTTTTTCTTTCGTTTTTTTTCTCACATGTTTGACTTGATTTAATAATTTCACTTTTTAACAGGTAAATTAATTAATGAATAATTATTACTTAGTTATATTAAATAATTATTACTTACATAATTATATTAAATAATTATTACTAACATAATTACAATAAATAATAAATTTTTTTTAGCGTACATTTTGATTGAATATGCAGTTCTCGGATTATCCGACTTTTTCGACTTTTTTTTTTACATTTTTTTTACAAAATTTTTAAACAAAGTACGTTTTTTTTAGTATACAATGCAGACCTTCTTCAGATCTTCTTTATTTCAATTATTTAAAAAAAATTTTGACAAAAATTCTTCACTAAATTAATTATTTTTAATAATTTTAATGAAATTCTTCACAAATTCAATTATCTTAACCTATTTTTCAAATTAAAATTTTTATGCAATTTAATAATTGTTTATAATTTAAAAAAAAAAATTACCGAAAAATTTTTAATTCAAAATCACTTGAAATTTAATTATTTGCAAAAATTTCAATTATTTTTAATGATTTTTAAAATATTCGTCGAAAATTCAATTATCTGAAAGCAGTTTTCAATTAAAAACTTTTGGAATTCAATTGTTGTATGTGATTTTTAATAAATTGTTCATTAACAGAAATCATTCAAAATTTCTCTTATTATAATTATTGTCTGAAATTTAACACAATCTTTTGAAATTCAATTATATTTCTAAAAATTTCAATTTAAAAACTTTCAAAATTTAATTATTTCTAATACTAGCAAAATTAAACGCGCGCCAATTCGGATATGTAATTGTTTGTTATAAAGAAATTAAAATTAATATTATCAATAATAATTTAAATTTATTAGAATACTATTATTACAAATTAAATGATAATAATGAAAATTATATTTTTATATAATTAATATTTAATAGAATTGAAACGAAGCTGAAAGAACGCAACGTTTATCAACAAAAACATTTTTTTAAAAAAGTTAAATATTACGTCTAAATTACATATATTTAACATAGGCGAAATATTTATAAATAAATTTAATTAATTAATTTAATTTAATTTAATTTAATTTTAAATTTAATATTTATTTTAAAAAAACTTCGTTGATAAACGTTGTGTACTTCAGGTTCGCGAATTGAATTTTTGAATTTGAATTTATAATATTCTTCAAAAATTCAACAATCTGAAACCATTTTTCACTTAAAAATTTTCAAAAAATTCTATTTTTGTCTGCAATTACTAATAAATTTTTTAGTAAAATCATAAAAACATTTAAATTAAAAATCACTTGAAGTTGAATTTGTAATTTGAAAAATCAAAATTTTAAATCTTTGAAAATTCAATATTACTTTTAAAAAATTTTATCTAAAATTATTTGATAATTTTTAATTCTGTTAAATTTAATTATTGTCTGAAAATTAACAATATCTTTTGAAATTCAATTATTTCTAAAAATTTCAACTCTAACTCTTCTAAAATTAATATTTTTAAAAAAATTTTATTTAAAAATCTGTAAAACTTGATTAAGTATTATGCCTGAAATTTTTTTAACCATTAAAACTAAACACTGACAAAATTTTTTATTCAAATATATTGCTGAAATCAGACTTCAAAAAATTATAAAAATCGGGAACTTTAAGATTTTTTTTTTAGAAATTTGTTCTATTTAAATAAAAATGTGTCTTTACAATTAGTTCGATTCTGAAATATTCGGAATAAATTTTCTTAATAATATTTTTATAAAATTATTCTCATTACTGAATTAATAAAATGAATTTAATATCTAATAACATTAATTATTTAAAGTAAAATATTCACTAACAAATTAAATTTTGTTAAAATAACAAAGCTGAAGTACGCAACGTTTATGATAAACGATTTTTAAAGAAATAATTTTTTTAAATGAAAAATTCCATAATTTATTGCTTAAAAAATATTTCTTGTAGTTTTCATTAAACAATAAATTATAAAAAAATATTTTTTAGGCAAAAAATTATAGAATTTTTCAAAATTAAAAATTATTTCTTTAAAAATTGTTTATCATGAACGTTGCGTACTTCAGCTTATTCGTTTAAAATAAAAAAATCGACTTCTTTTGTGCCTTAAAGTCGATCCTAGAAAAAAGAAATTTTTAAATTGTTTACAAATTCAGTATGTAAAAATTTCTTATTTCCCTTTGGGAATTAAAATAGAACTAAATTTTAAATTTTTTAACGATATTGTTAATTTTTGTTTTTTGTTTATTATTTTAATTTTACGTATTTATTATTTTATTTTAAAATACCTATATATATGATTTAATATATTTTTTAATCCACAATTTTTATACATTTTTCAGGAGATTTGCAAAGCTGAAAATAAAACACAAGAGAAACGAGAATTAAAAAAAAAACTTGAGGATAAGAGAGAAGGAAATAGGATTTGTATAAAAGTAGGTAATGTAAATTTATTTTGACTTTCATTTTAGAAATATGTTTATAAGCAAGTTAAGACTATAAATTTTTGCACACACAATTCAAAAGTTTTAATATTATATATTCACCGGTTGACCGGTACATTCATGCGAAATGCACTATAAATATTAAAACTTTTCAAATACATAAATAATTCGTTTAATTTTTCGATATTAACCTTGAGCCAATGAATTATACAAAATTTATTAATTATTATATTATATATTTATTTATTTCAAATATAAATAAATAATGAATATATATATTAGGAAAAATCGAAAAAAAATTATATAATATAAAAATAGAATTTAAATAATTAATTTATTGTAGAATTTTTAAAAAAGTGCTTTTATCGCAATGCCTGATTTGCATATTTATATATGCCATTTCTATATATATATAAAAAAAAGTTTTGAGGGAAAAATTTTGTTAATTACAAAAATTACATAAGTCGGATAAAAAAGACAAAAATGTTATAACTTTTGCTTGATGATAAAATATTCGCCCTGATGAAAGTTCGTTCTAATAAAATTCAAAACTTCAACCGGGAGAAAAACTTATAATCGGATTAGAGAAGCTTGTTATCCAGGACACAAAAGAAAATTGAAATTATCTACCCTGTTAATTTACATCTGCGAAAAAAAATCAATTTCATCACAGTAAATTGTTACTTTTTTTTTTATTTATTTTTATTAATAATTTAATTTTTTTTTTAGTATTTATTAAATTTTTCCTTCAAATTTATTTATTTGTATTTCTTTTTATTTTCATATTTGCGTAAAAATAATTTCAATTTTTAATATACTCTAAAAATGAATTTTCGGTTATATAAAAATTCTATAATATAAAAAATCGTTTTGATGAAAATTCTACAAAAATGATATAATTTGAAAAAATAAAATTTGTCTCAATAAAAAAATTATATATATCTAATGAAATTCTATTAAATAATAATTCTAACAAAAATTGATTTTTAAAACTTATTCATGCGTCACAAAAAGAACTTTAAATTCCCTTTTTCAAAAATTTAATATTATTTTTCATCAATAATACACGCTATATATAATAATAAATTTAAATGATATATATTATATATATAAATTTATTATGTAAAAAAAGAATTTAGAACTGGCTATATATATATAGTGTATCAAAATGTGTATTATACAATGGTAACAAAATTATAAAAGACACATTTCAGAAATTTATTACATAGAATATTGGGATCAAAGGAGACTAAAAGGATTACTGTAGATTGCTATTGGATTGTAAACGATTATATACCGGGAATACAAAAAAGATAAGTGAGGGTTGATATCTCTTAAGCTGATGATTCATTTTCCGCAAAGAAAGATTTGATATTTTACAGATTTCCTAAAGTATATGATAACATTTTATAATTGATTTTACTTTAATTATTTTAATAATAATGATATTAAAAAAAATTTATAATAGTAATAATAATAATAATAATAATAATAATAATAAATCAATTTATTTCAAT